ACTGATGCAGCTCGAGTGGGAAGTTCTCCCGCACCCAGCGTATTCACCAGACTTAGCTCCTTCGGACTATTACTTGTTCCGGTCGATGCAGCACGGCTTGGTGGATACACACTTTAGAAATTACGAGGATGTGCGAAAATGGATCGACGAATGGATTGCATCAAAAGACCAATCGTTCTATCGTCGCGGAATCTACGCGTTGCCCGAAAGATGGGAAAAATGTATAGTTAGCGAGGGAAAATACTTCGATTAATGTATTTTTTGCTTTTGATGTCGAAATAAATGAGTTTTTTAAACAAAAAAACCGCAGGAACTAAGTTTACCACCTAATAATAAAGCCTTCTTATAAATTTTGACCATTTTGCTAGCGTTTAAGTTGTTTGTGAAGATTTGCAAAGTGTTAAATCCTTGCGTAAAGCCACATTTCGGTAAATCGTTGACATTTTTCACCTCTAAGTAGCGATTCACCCACTTATTTACAAATGTTTTTGACTTCCTCATATACTTAGCAGCCGCTTGGCGTGACATTTTGGTCCTTTCGGATGTATACAAAAAAACACAGCTTCGAGACGCGAAGACATATGTTTGGCACTCATGGCGAAATATATATTTTTATCACGAAAATCGAGTGACAACTAAAGCTTTATCAACAAAGCATTTTAGCTGAAAGATCCCTTTACTGACTCCTGTTTGAAATTCCCGTCTACCCGTTTATATGTAAAAGTTTTGCCGGACACGCTCTTATCAAATAGACTATATAATACCTAGGCCGCAACGTTTCCCAATGTCTGAACGCGTCAAACAATATAAAGAAATAGCATTCTTTCGGTAAAAAGTCTGTTTCTTTCAACGAAGGCTGCTTTATTCTCGCCACAAGACTACGATAAGTAATGGGAATAAAACAGCCTTCGTTAGAAAGAGACAGACTTTTTTACCGAAAGAATGGTAATTCTTTATATTATTTGACGCGTACAGATAATTGGAAACATTGCGAATCCGCGGCTTAGGTATTATATATCTATGCAGTGATAGATACTTTGTTCCGCGAGCAGCACGCATCAGCACGGAAGGGGATACGCACATACTCACGTGACGGTGTCCGTGAGGCTCATGGCACCCTCGCGTGAGTGTGTGCGTATCCCCTTCTATTCTGATGCGTGCTGCTCGCGGAATACAGTTTCTATCATTGCATCTATGGTCCCCTCCCAGTGAGATTAGGAGGCACGAGATTATTAACTATTATGTAATATTTAATTTAAAAAATGTCTTTATTAATAAAAATATGAAAGGTATCATGTTTTAGATTTATATTGTTCTCCAAATATACTATTGCAACTTTTATAGTCCAAAGATGATTTTTTGTAGCTCAAACAATAAATGCAGTAATTTTATTTTTATTTTTTAGTCATCAACAATTTATCTAATTGTTTAAATGAGACTATAAGATTTCAAATAATGTAGAAAGAAAAAAGAAAAATTCTCTAAGGCAATTTTTCTGGAAAACACGCTTTAAAAACCATATTGACAATGTAGACAACTTAATTTAAGAGTACTCCAATGTTTAACAACTCGGAGTTCTCATTATCAAATCGCGCAAAAGTTTGGAAAAGATTTTTTTTGTCAAATGGAAACATTTTGGAGAGTGCCGCAGAAAAAATTTGAAAGTCGAAAAATGAGGACCACTCTAATATATATACATATATATATATATGTGTGTGTGTGTGTGTGTGTGTGTGTGTGTGTGTGTGTGTGTGTGTGTGTAAACAGGAGATATAATTTCATCACTGTCGGTTCCAAGTCCCAATAAAAAGAAGGATCTCATTATTTTATTATTTTTTAAATGAGACAATTTGTTCTTAATTACTTTTCAATATATTATATTCAATATAAATCGAATCTAGAAATACAAAATAATTTGTAAAGAGGATTAGTTGGAAAGCAATAATGATGTATTATCGTAGTTTCATATGTCTCATATTATTAAATTTGTTTTATAATAAATGTTATAGTAAAAAATATTATCTAATTAACATTTCGTGATGCAATATTATTTGGTCCAACTTTGAATTAATTTTTAAATTATTGAAGCATAACTGACAGTGATTCTTCAGTGAATAACAATTTTTTCCATTATATTGAGAACATTAATTTTAAGGGATTTTTTGATAAATATACGGCTTTATTGTAAAAAATTGTTACAAATTAATCATTCAAAATATTGTCCATCGCTAGCCACTACTTTTTCCTATCTTTCTGGTAATAGATGGATTCTACGTCGAAAGAACGACACATCTTTTGAGGTTATCCACGAATTGACCCATTTTTTGGTATCCTCATAAGAATGGAAACGAATGGTTCAGACAGGCCATGAGTCATCGATCGAAATAGGTGGAAATAGTGCGTTGTCGAGCGTTGTGGTGCTGGAAAATCACTTTGTCGCATCTTTTCGCGTAATCTGTTTTTGCTTCAATGCTCGGCTCGATTGCATCAATTGTTGTTGGTAGCGTTCCCCATTGATGGTTTCATTGGGTTGGAGCAGCTCATAATACATCCAGCTGATTCCACCAAATATAGAGCATGAGCTTGGCGCTATAAATATTCGGCTTTCTTGTCGATGTTGATGGTTCGCTTGGCCTGCACCATGATTTTTTGCGCTTCGGATTATCGTAGCGTATCCATTTTTCATCACGATACGATACAAAAAACTTTTTCTTCTGTGTCTTTGAAGCAACAATTCACAAGTCATTTTGCGTCTTTCAATATCCCTCGGCTTCAACTCGTACGACACCCAATTTCCTTGCTTTTGAATCATTCCATGGCCTTCAAACGTCTGGAAATCGTTGATCGATCAACACTTAATGATTCTGCAAGTTCTTCTTGCGTTTGACTCGGGTCTTGATCGAGTAAAGCTTCTACTTTCTCATCTTCAAACTTTTTCGACTGGCCTGGAAGTTTTTTGTCTTCCGTGTCAAAATCACCTTTTTTATAGCGTCGAAACCAGTACTCATATGTTGAAATTGATGGAGTATAATTACCATAAGCTTCCGACAGCATTCGTTGACTTTCAGCAGCATTTTTCTTCAAATGGAAGCAAAAAGCAAAGCTTCCCGCAAATTGCGTTTTGTTGGCACAAAATTCGATATATTCAATGCTCAAAAAACCAATGTTGTTTACACTTCGGCAAAATGACACATACTGAAAACTAAAGCCACATGATTGTGCTTTGACACAAAGGTAACAACAATATGGCCCGATGCGATATAGTACTCGTTATGCCATCTCTTGAAAATCCTTTAAAATTAATGCACACTTTTAGTAAATATAAATTTTTGCCTTTCATCTCCCAAACATCCGTATGGACCAGTGCTAAAACAACAATGATAAACATGCTAAATAATACCCATACAGCACAAAATATTGAAAGAACGTTGATGAGACGTTAATGCAACATTGAAGATAGAAATGCGGATGTTTTTCTGTATGAAATTTATGTTGATTTCTCAACATTGATAACCAGATACAGCTACAATGTTGAATATATATTGAACAAAAACTACAATATTTTGCAATGTTGTAACTATATTTGAGGAACATTGAAAATTATATTTTTTATATATAAAAATAATAATAATAATAAAATAAATTATTATTAAATTTTATTATATTAATACATATGTATTATTTATATTATATTATATTCATATTATATACCATAATTATATATTTTTTTCTTATTGTTTATATATAAAATTAAAATGCGTTTAAGTAATTTTGCGCAAACCATGAAGAATATTCTTTTATTTCAAAATATTCTTTATTATACAGAGTCTGATACAAGCTGTATCGATAACAAAAAATGTATAAAAAACATTAAATTGAAAAGAATGGTCGCAAATAACCACATAAACTTTAGTGATATTAAATAAAATATATTGGCAAATCAACGCGCGTACTTGCTAGGTACGTTATAATATACTGTGAACATTATAAGTATACATTATATAAGCATAAACTGTAAGAACATCGTTGGAGTCATTGGCATCACCGCGTGCCGCGCGATCATCAGGTTAGGCACACCTTTAACAAAGTGAGGCATGGATGGGTGCCCGGGTATTTAATCGCTTCGGATTCGAAATTATCGAGGGAAGTCGCGAAAGTAGTAGAGTGTGTTTGACAATCTTCGGTTCTTAGTAGTTATATAAGACATGAAGAAAATGGATTCAACATTACTATGCTGTATGAGACATTTTTCTTGATTTTAAATTTCAATGATTTTCTACTGAATTTTATTAAAACTTATTGAAATTCACTGAAATTTCGCTAATTTTCAATGAATATTGCTGAAATTTACGACGATTTCGCTGATTTTCGATGAATATTGCTGAAATCATAATGAACGTGAGTCAATTGATTGAGTTTTTCAGCAAAACTTCAGCACATTTCATTACGTTTTTAGCAAGTTTCATTATAATTTCAGCAAAATTTTTCCATCAGGGATCTTAACTTATTCGTTTATGATAATGCGAGAATGGATTAATTAGTACCCGTGTTTGAAGACAGGTGGCGTTGCTGAGGGAAATTGACATTACTATCGTGTACTACTATTTTCAAACGATGCCATACAAAATTTCAGACTGATTTATAGATTAGTTCTGATTTGACAGCCATTTGTATTAAACGAGTGCCCTTCACTTGGACACAGTACAATTGCAAATTTTTATTAATATTACATGGTTAGAGAAAGGTATCTTTTTATCTATATTGAACGGTAAGCAATTGAACAATGTCCAAACTAACGATGGCTAATTGAACGATGTCCAAATTAACGGTGGGCAATTGAACGATGGGTAATTGGACGGTGTCCACAAGAACGGTGTCCAAATGAACGGTGGGCACTTGAACGGTGTGCCTCTTTCTGTGTCAAAATGAACGGCGCGCAACTTTCCGTGTCCAAACGAACGGTGGGAAATTGAACGGTGGAAAATTGAACAGTGTCCGAATGAACGATGGACAAATTAATGATGTCCAACTGAACGGTGTTCAAATGAACGGTGTCCAATTGAACGGTGTGCATCTTCTTGTGTCCAAATAAACGGTGGATAATTAAACGATGTCCAAACGAACGGTAGGCGATTGAACGGTGGGCACTTTCCAAAAACAACTGTGTGTAAAATTTTTGTCCATTTGCAACATATTTAATTATTCAAATGCACCGCTCCCGTATTAAACGTGTTTTTCGATACAATGGAAAAAGAGCAATATCGATCCGTAATTCGCTTTTTATTTTTGCATGAAAAAACGGGCGAAAATGGATGCTGTCTATGGGGACCCTTCACTATGACAACCGTGAGATATTGGTCCAACGAATTAAAACGTGCCCGTACATCTGTTTTTATGAGGAGCGCCCAGGTTGTCGGGCAAGCATGGTTACTGAAAAAATCTTTGAAAAAGTCTACGACATGATTCTCGCTGAGCAAAAGTACGCCGAACAAAAGTACGCGAAATAGCAGAGGCCGTAGACGTGTTGTACGGAATGGCAATCAATATTTTACATTATAAGTTAAGAATGAGAAAGCTGTCGGTCCGATGGGTGTCGCGATTGCTCACGGTGGACAACAATCGGATACGGCTGTTAATTTCGAAGCAGTGTTTGGACCTTTTTAAGCGAAATTCGTAGGAGTTTTTGCATCAAATCGTCACCGCTGATAAAATCTGGATCCATCACTATACGCCAGAGACTAAGCAACAGACAAAACAATTGACTTTTCCGGACAAATGTGCTCCGAAGAAGATAAAGATGGTCCCATCGGCCGGAAAGGTCACGGCCACGATTTTTTGAGAAGAGAATTATCCTCATAGACTTCTTGGAGAAAGGAAGCACGATCTCGGGGTAGTACTACAGTGAATTATTGGACCGATTCGACGAGAAATTGAAGGAAACACGACCCATTTGGCAAAGAAAAAGTGCTGTTCCACCACGACAACGCACCAGCTCACTTATCCGAAATCGTCGCAGCCAAATTGCATGAATTGCGATATGAATTGCTGCCGCACTCACCGTACTCGCCCGATCTAGATCCCTGCGACTTCTTTCTGTTCTCCAATATGAAAACGTGGCTCGTGGGAAAAAAATTCAGCTCAAACGAGGAGGTCATCGTCAAGACAAAAGCCTATTTTTAAGAGTTTGACAAATCGTATTTTTTGGAGAGGTTAAAAAAATGGTAGTGACGTTGGGAAAAGTGTATCGTCCTAAAAAAAAGATTACGTTGAAAAATAAAAAAAAAATTTGGTGAAAAATTTGCGTTTTTATTCCTAACACGGGTACTTACTGATCCATCTTCGTAGTACTATTGATAGTCGGATACTCAAAAACTAGATTATTGCCGTATTTGATAAAATTCGGAATACACCAGGAATTTTTGAACGTCTTCGACATTCTCTGCAACATCGATGTGAAACAAGCATTGTTGCAGAAGTAAATTATTTCCAACAATTTTTTTAAGTAAGCTTTTAACATTCCTATAATACTCAATCATAAATGAAGAAGTATTAATATTTCGAAAAGAACAAGTTTCCGGATCTATGTTTGTATGACCTTTTTTCATGCTTAGGAAAAGTTTGATACGGTACCAAAGTTTGGTCACTTTGTTCGGTGTCACCCTGTACATAATCGTTCCGGAGAACCCGTATAGGAACCAGCGTAGTATTGTCCCTATAGAAAACCATAGGAGCTCTGTGGATCTTCTCTCATATGTTATGATTACTACGCGAAGGCAGGAATCTTAATTGAAGACACAAAATGTGTATTGTTAAATTCATATAAGAGACAATAGACTTTATCGTGAAGTTGCGATTTATTTAGACAGGTATTAAGGTTTAAGCGTATTCTCATAAAATATTATATACAGGGTGTGCTAAAATTTTGGAAATGGTCGAATATCTCGAAAAAGAAGCATTTTTTAGGAAAATGTTTCCAACAAAGGTTGCACGGCTACAGAAGATCTATTTAATGGCTGTATCAGTTTTGACCTTGGGTGGCGTTGTTAAGGTCAGGTCAAGGTCATGTCAAATTTTTTAAATGGAAATCCCCATTTTTATTGCATTTTCTCATAGCTTACCTCGAGAGCTTTTCAAAACACTATAATAAAATTATTTTTCTTTAAGTACTTTACGAGTTATAAGGTTTAAAATTTATGATACCACCGACATTTCTCCAAGCATTACCCAAGATAAACGACGTGGACGTGGCAGGGCTTTTACGTTTTGGGATACTCCATTTACGTGAATCTCCTTGCCTCTCACGTTTAAAACGCTTGATTTACGTCCTCTTGCCTTTCACGTTTGAGGTATTTGATTTACGTGAATCCTCTAATTTGATAAAGCACAAATAAAACGAATAACAAAAATTTGCAGCGCGCCAAGGAAATAACTTTAGATTCCTTTTTATGAGAATATCTTAAAAACAACACATATGCACGCCCTTACATAAGCACGCAAAGTACTAAAAAAGTAAAACTGGACAACCTCTGCGTCGTATATATTGGATAATATCGTCGTATATATGGACGTTCTCGTATATCGAACGTATATCGGTACTATAAATTTCAAGTCTTATAACTTGAAAGTCTTATAACTCGTCTTATAACTTCAAGTCTTATAGTCTTATGAACTTCACATTAATATAATCGAATATTTTTCTCGGTATGCATTTTGTCGGCGAGATATAAGCAGGCCTATATATCATCAGTAGTATATGTACAGCTTCTGACAGGGCGTGGCCTATTTTTCGGTGGTGGGAGTAAAACCTGACGCCAGTGTGTCGAGGGGTGGGGGAAGGGTCCCAGAAGGTTAGGTTGGGGTGAGTCGAGAGTGGGGAAAGGATCCCAAAATGGAATGGTGGGGGAAAAGTGTGAATTTTGCAGGTTTAGTGAAGGGGATAATATGCGGAATAAAAAATTGTTAATATTGGAAGTGGATCGGACGGTATGTCGCCCTAACTGTAAATCGGGTGGGATTATTCAGGGTGATTTATGTATTTTATTTTATTTCTTTTTATTGCATCGTTTCCTACGGAGTATAAACTTCGTCTCCTGCGATATGTCCGTTGTCTGGAAATTCCGAATCTCGACTGATGAGAAGGAGTAGGTGACGATAGAGGAGCTAGGAGTAGGGGATAGTCGTCGGTTGCTTCCGTATAAGGGCGAGAGTAATTTATGCTATTGGTTCGTTTACTGATCAGTTATGGATATTCACATGGATTGGTTTTTACCTAGGGTTCTCGTCGCCTACGTCGAGAATTTGAGAATGCTAAGTGTGACCTGAAAAATTTAGGCGAAAAGGGGACTACTAAATGTTAGGCGAAGATGGGGTGCTAGCGGGAAAGGGTAGTCGTCAGATGTCTCCGCGTGAGGAGTAAGGAAGATCTATTGGTTTGTTTAGTGTCAGCTGTGGTTATTCAATGGAGATTGGTTCTTTCCGCCCTCCTGCATCGTTGCTTACGTCGAAAAGTTAAGGGAGATGTTACCGGAAAATTATGACAAAAAGATGTTTCTTGAAAGTTAGAATAGCGAGATATAGAGAGAAACGAGAGCAGGTCTGGACAGCTATGGTTATGTGATGTTTGGTCTCGACTCCTTATTTGATTCTTACGTTGCGGAGGAGGAGTCAGGGTTAAGGAAGAATATTACCCATGCAAGCGTCAGCTTCATGGAAATTTCTGGAGTTTATCGAAGAATATAGGTGCGGGTAAAGAAGGAGACGCTTTTGAGGAAAAGAAAAAAAATAAACATGTTAAAGGATAAAATCCGCTATTTATTTATAATTATATATAAGGATTCACAATATTATGAATTTGAAGCGAGTTGCACCGCTTGATTTTTTATTATTCTTCGTACAATTTCGTGGAGATGAAACGAAGTTAACTCCAGAAAGAGAATGTCAAAGTACACATCCAGGAAATCAAAATTCAGCAACTGCCGCTGGACATTTTTCTCGATTTCCTTGAATATCCCCTTATTCCAGAGCGTGTTTTTCATCATATCCTCATCTAAATAGCAGTTGGGTAAATGTAGTTCGATTTTCGCAATAAGAAGTTCGACACAATCGTTGACGAGATTCGTTAGCGAATATAGATGTTTTCGCCGCGCGTCGATGCAACTTGCAATACTTTGTAGGCTTTTGAACGTGATTTTCTGCATCGCTATCGACGGCGAGTATGTTTTGCGTTTCTTCTTCGGTGGTTTCGTCGCTGTCTCGGAATCCTCCGTCGTGGCTTCCTCTTCTTCTACTTCGCGATTACGCGTTACCATTATTGCTCTTGAGCCATAAGTGGTGGTGAAATAAATAATCGCGTTCTTTAGAATCAAGAGTTGTCGCGTAATTTTATCAACCCCGCGCAAGTAAGCATGCACGAGGTCAAATTCCTCTTGAAACTTCTGCTACGCTTCGAGTTCGAGGTAGATATAATCCGCCGAATTTCCGATTAGTTTTATCGCCGCTTCGTACCTCCCGGCGTCATTTGCTTGCAGTCTCACTTGCACCTTCTTCGTATCCAAATTGTTTAAAGCATATGATGTAGACAATAACATGTTTCTCTTTCGATTAAAGTTTCGGCCACTTGTGATGTCACTGCGAGTGTTATTACATCCGCCCTTCTCGATATTCTGCTTCACGTTGTTGACAGTCGCTCCTCGTATAACCCCTCGTGAATAGTTTTAACAAACGTCGACTTTTCGTAACAGCGAAACGTGACTCTCGGAGCATTATCGACTGTATAAAACTTGCGAGCGATCAAGAGCGGTTTTATAGGGTCTTGAGAGTGTGAAAAATGCATAGAGGAGGTAGTATACCCGTACCAAAAATGTTTATTTAATAACATTTTTCAGTTACACTTCTCTGGAGCGCTTTTCTAGGAAGTGTTTTTCTGGAATTTTCTAACGGCGGGGAACAAATGCAGAGGACTTTAAGCTAGTTTATCGTGACCAACGATAATATTTTATACCGGACACTCCGTGTCCTTTGAATGTTAGTCGGCACGTTCTTCTTTCAGACTTTTCTTCATCTCACTGCATTTTTTTTTAAGCGCAACGGCTTGCCGTGACTGTCGATAATATTCTATAACGATCGCTTCTAAGTTAACCCGTCCTTTGTATGTTAGGCATTCGCGTTTTTGTCTCAGGCTTTTCTACGCGCCCGATTGTTTCGGCACGTTTCCGAACTCAGGTTTGAAAAAAAAAGTGGCGCCGGACAGATGCGCGTGCAAGCGTCGTGCAGGCGTCGTGCAGGCGCCGTGCTCATGTCGGGCACGCGTCGGGGATCTTGTCGCCGGAGGCGAAAAACACGCGTCAAAAACAAGTGTTTTCACGTTCTTATGAAGCGAAGCGTATAAAAAAAGTGGGATATAAATAGACATATTTGGAATATGTCGCGAATTAACTGTCTATTCTAATAGCCGGAACAAGCAAAAAATAGCTAACGGTATTTCACCCCATATCTTCCGAGTCAACCCGAGGATTACCGTCAAAGATACGGTCGGAATCTGCTTTTGACAAAAAGAGTAATTTTTCTAGAGGAAGTGCGTCGCTAGATACGCGAGGTATTGTTCTTTTGTCGAAGAATGGCCACGCATTCTCGCACGTCTGGTAGAAAAAACAACTTTGAAAACGCATAAACTGTCTGCCCACCTCGCTATTACTGAGCGTGTTTTCGACGATAAACCCTAATAATTTTAAACATCCATCTTTCTTTCTTTGGAGAAGCGTTTTGTCCTAGGAGAGAGAGGAATGAGATTTTGGGGGTATATATGCGAGGAAAAAACTCCGGTTTCGCATTTTCCACCGTCAGTTTTCCGCCGTGAGACACGTTACAATGTCGCAAGTGGGCAAATTAGTGCGCGAGTTCATTGTTACGGTTTTATACGCCAACGCGAATATCGATAGCGTTCGATATTTGGTGCGTATTTCCGCCGATGACGCGGAAAATGATATCCTATTTTATTCATTCGCATGTGCTTGTAACAGCACGCTGCTAGGACTTTTGTGCAAGTGCGACAAATTTCGGGGTGATCCGGAATTAATAAAAATAATCAGAGAAATTCTGATATTTCGCCGAGATTTTGAGGAGAATATCGAGGACATGTGGGAGATTATCGCCGACGTGATATTTTATAACGGGTAAGTTAATACATCATATCAATTTTATACTGAAAACTAAAACTTTGTAATTTATGCGAATTTTAAGAATAATTATTGTTTTTATTGTTTCATAAGTCTGACTCTCGCCGGTACCAGTGACGGGGAGGCGCTTGAACTTCTTCCGCAAGGTCGTAAACGTCTCGCGGAGGAACCGCCTTACCCGAATCAGGCAACTTCGCGTAAGTGCAAATCGAGAGAGAAGTATCGGATTTAAGATGCTTTATCGGGTAAATTATCTAACGCTAAAATAAATTTTAAGCTGTAATAATGCTTCGACATCGGAAGTCGATCTATCGAATACCGACAGTATTTGTAGCGTAGAAACGGTTGCTAACGAAACCGTCGTCGTTGTTGAACCATAAGGCATCATAAATATTTATAAAATAACAAAAGTGTCATATTAAAATCGATTTCATGCGATATAAGTGTAATTTTATTTTCAGAAAACAGCGGGAATGATACCGGCGCTAGCGAGACGGTAGTCGCCGCTGCCGGCGCGGACGACGGCGACGACGACGAGAATGACAACAACAGCGACGACAACGATAGCGCCGACAGCAACGACGGCGATAGCAATGACAGCGACGACGATGATGACGACGGCGATTATGGCAACGTCCCCGTCGTCACTGACTCCGGCAACGACGTCAATGTCGGCGAAGGCAGTGGTGACGGGGGCGAGGATAAGAGAGAGGAGCGCGACGACGACAATACTGGGGGTAACGTTGAAGACTTTCGCCGCTATCGAGAGTTTTCTTCGACAATATCAGGTAAGAACTTTTGCACGAACACACGCACTCGTGTATAGACGCGGAATTCTCTGGAAGTATATTTTTACGTTAAAATTTAATTAAAATGATTGTAAATGGAACTAGAACCGAGTTACTTGCCGGTTAGTCACCTTTCCTACGAAGGAGAAAACTATATGCCGCATATTCCCGACACGGAAAGAGAAGAAGAATGGGAGAGGATACTGCGTTCAGGCAACATAGAAATTCCCCGGGAATTACGGATTTTTCCCGATTCGCCGGTATGGGACTCTAGCCGGGATTTATTATATTTCAATTTAACGCCAGAAGAATAAATTCGAACGTGAATTATAAGATGACTTAAAATATTAAATATTTTACAGAGCTTACGTTTCTCATTATTTCATTATTCTTTTACAGTACAACAAGGAGCGTGCTCTCTCCTCCAAAATTGAACCGGCGCGAGAGAAGTCTATGCAGAAAGAAGTTCCTCACGAGCATGGAAACGTAAGATTTAATTACACCGAAATACGGGGAGAAAACGCGCGGCGGTTTAGACATTTTTGTATCTTAGGACGAGAGGCGAGTATAAAGATTCTCCCGCCCGCCGAAGGCACCGATATCGCTAACCATTTAGAAAACGCATTCCGCGAAATCTATTCTTACGCCGTTAATTCCGCTAACGCGAGCGATTACGTGGGATTATCTTTCACCTCGACGGCTTTAACACGCGGGCCGGCCAGCTTGTCGTTTCGCCCGGTACGAGACTGACTTACGGGAATATTTGGAACCTCGTAAACACGGTAGCACAGAGCGCCGGGGGTCACGATATCGCGGAACGTTTTCTAATAACGGTGTACAATGTCGGGATACCTTCGGGGTGAGGAAGAAAATCGAATCGCGAAAGCGCGAAGATGTAGTAAAACGCTCGATTTTAAATATAAATCGGGATAATATGTGTCTCCCTCGCTCCTTCATCGTGGCTCGCGTTTATTGTGAATGCGGTACAGTACGCAGTGGCGAACTACATAGAAAATGGAATAATATAAAACACCCATATTCCGCGTTGCAAAGACGTTTGGCCGAAGAAATAACGAGAAACGCCGGTATAGTTATACCGAGGAGGGGTGCGGCATCCCGGAGATCGAACGTTTTCAACAGCTTCTCTCGCTAGAAAATATCGCGATTGTCGTTTATAATTTCAGGAGTTTTGGTCCGTTGAGGAATCCCTTCGTTGTACAACGGACATTCGACGCTCGCCTTTCGTTTTCGTATAGCTAAGTATACGTTAAATATAATGTATTACGAGCGTTCACGGCATTATAAGCCTATTTTGAATTTAAAAGCTGTTTCGGCTAGTAGATATTATTGCGTTTTCTGTAACAAAGGTTACCATCGTGAAACGGGTCACCGGTGCTCAAATACATGTCCGCGATGTCTCGGTGCGCCGCCGTGCGAGAAGTTAGACGCGCGATTGATCGGCTGCGACGTGTGTAACCGCGTGTTTTACGATGAGAGCTGTTTCGAACGTCATCGCGCATCGAAATCTTACGCCGACAAGTCGCCGTCGAGTGTTTGTAACGCCGTGAGATTTTCCAACGATTGCGGGCATTTGAAAAGATCGGGCGCAAAACACCCGTGCGGCGCGGCTTATTGATGCATATGCTGCGAGTCGAAACCGCTGAATCACTTGTGTTTCATGCGGCCGCTTCGAGGGGATCGCGCATCGGCATCTGTCAATGCAAAAGAACTCGAGAATGTCGACGAGACCGATGATAACGACGATAATGACGATCGGGATGATGCGAGAACAGTTCGGAAGGGCCACGTCGCGTTTATATTTTACGACTTTGAGACGCGACAAGACGAAATGCTCGAAGAGTGCGCGATCGTTAAAACTTGCGTAGTTACTCTCTGCGTTGAGCAACAAACATGCGAATCTTGCCTGGGAGAAGACGATATGACGTCGCGATGTCGTTGGTGCGGGGTGCGCGAATTTGTATTTCACCGTGATCCGGTGAAACAATTCGTTGATTTTGCAACGAGAACGACGAAACGTTTCTCGTGCTTCATCTGTATCGCGCACAAAGCGAGGGCGTTCGACTCACAGTTCATCCTGCGCTACCTGGTCGAGAGCGATAGGACAGACGAACCGAAATTAATATTAAATGGTACAAAAATTGTATTACTAACCGTGGGACGGACAAAATTTCTCGATAGCGTTAATTACATGCCTATGCGCCTGTCGGCGTTACCGAAAGCTTTCGGGCTGAAGGATTCTGTCGCCAAAGACGTATTTCCGCATTCAATACAATTAAAAATCAAAATTATGTTGGACCGCTACCGGATATTGATTATTATTGTTCGTGTTCCGGATGGAACGTGTACGTCCATACGGAGCGTGTACAGCGGGCGGCCGGGCCCTAGGCACCACTCGACTCGCAGTCGCCGGCCTCCCGCCGCCAGTTCGCACTGTCCCCGCGACGCGGCGACGACGTCAGCCAGAGTCGTTGCTCGCGGTCAAATTTCGCTTAGGCGCCTATATAAGGCGCCACGCGAGACTACTCGAGACCTTCTTGAGTGCGCTTGCACGTTGGGTCATTGCCTCTAAGAGGTATTCTTTTGCGCTTCTGCATCAATCTCCATTGTCTTTAGAATGTCCGAGACACGTTGGCTTTTTTGGTACGAAGTATTTAGGTAACTCCTCGGATCTCCACCTTCTCGATACGATCGGCGTATGCGAGAAGAGTTCGTGCGACCATTCGGATTACCTCGAAGCCTCCAACGCGGTGGGAGCTTCTCTTTGCGATATCTCACGTATTGTTAGATATCGTGCCTTCAGTTCAACAGAACGCGATACTGTCGGGCTCACGACTCCGCTGCCAGGAACGCAGCAGCTCTCACGCTCGCCACGCTCGCTATTGCTCCGCTGCCAGGGACGCAGCGCTCACGCAAACCACGTTCGTCACTACGTCGACGTAGGACTTAGTCGCTGCCAGGGACGCAGCACTCACGCGAACCAAGTTCGCTGGTAAGTCGACTCAAGACTTATACGTCGTCGCATCCGCGACTCAACACGCGAGTGACTCGCACTTCTAAAGGGACGTCTACATTGGAAATAAATAGCAAGAAGTAGGAAGTAAGAATAAGAAATTGTCCAACCACAGTCGAATGTGATAAGAATAATTAACTATGATTGATCAATTTCTTATTCTTACTTCCTACTTCTTACTGTTTACTTCCAATGTAGACGTCCCTTAAGTCTCAACGAGACTTAGCATTAGTTGCACACGCAGCATTATCGACGCAAGTCACGATCACGTATAAGTCGACACGAGACTTATACGCTGTCGCATACGCGACTCCACACGCGAGCTCCATTTGCGACTAAATAAGTCCCTGCAAACCTTAGTCTTTGTCGCATCGACGACATCAGGAACACGAGCCACGCTCGCCTCCAAGTCAACGTTAAACTTAGACTCCGTCGCATACGCGATTCAAGCACGCGAGTTACACTCGCGTTTAAGTCCCTACGAGACTTAGCCTTCGTCGCGTGCGCGACTGTTCAGGCGAGTTCAGCTCGCCTGTATATCACATCAGATTCAGCCTCTGTTGCTCCCACGCCACACAGAGCTGAATCTCACTCGGACTTGACTCCAACGCTCACGAGAGGAGACGGGTCACCGTCTCCATACTCTGAGTGAATACCTTCCTCCGGAAGGGGGGATTTTCTTCCTAGCGCAGAGGCGCCGGGCAACTATACGCGTGTCCTCAGCAGGACCATGCCGTGCTTGCACACAAGAACACACTCGCACTTTCCTCACACCATCTTACGAGATTCCTGGATAGGAGAGCACGACCTTATACTCGCGCATTCCAAAGTAGCAGTCGACGGTAGTTCGACGGCATTGCGAACTAGCCGCTCACCAACCCGGGCTGTTCGAAACAGTTCGGATACGATGAAATCGGACGAACGCGAACAATTTTTAACGTGGCATGCGGAAATGACGGGTAAAAACGCGGTGATTAATTTTCAACAGAAGATAGTGCGCTATTGCCGGAACGATATAAATATTCTTCGACGAGCGCGTCTGGCCTATCGTAAAATTTTTCGAGACCGTGGAAACGTGTGTCCATTCGAAAAATGCACAAGTATCGCTTCCACGTGTATGAAAGTTTTTCGCAAAAAACATTTTTCGTGAGAAGGAGATAGTGATAATCCCGCTCGGCGGTTATAGGGGTGTCAACACGCAATCGCGCAAAGCGTTACAATGGTGATGGAGCATGATCTCGGACGCGCGATAATTCACGCGGGGAGAGGCCGAGAACAGCGTTTATTGGAAGATCCGCTCATTGATGGATATTATGAGACGGAGAGTCCCCGGTAGCGTCACGTGCTGCAGTTTCAATATTGTTTTTGGCACGGATGTCCCGAGTGTTTTCCCTTGAACCGCGACACACTCAGACCGCTCTCAACCGCGTCGCGCGAGGATACGTTCGAAGCGCGTTACGAGCGCACACTCGCGACGATGTGTCGTCTTAGAAAACGGAAGTACGTCGTTACGGAAAAGTGGGAATGTCTCCTCTATTGAGAACTGCGCGAAAATCGTGAGATACGCGAGTTTGTTGAGAATCATCCCATGTTGAGAAACAATCTCCTCGAACCTCGCGAAGCGTTCTACGGCGGGCGTACGGAAAATATCGTCACGCGACACGAAATTACGGGTACGGAGAAGGTACGCTACGTAGACGTGTATTTTTTGTACCTGTATGTGCTGAAAACGGGTGCTTTTCCGCTCGATCATCTTGATATTTACGTAGGTGAGGAATGTTCCATCTTGATCGGAGCAGACCCTGATTTTAACTTTGATTTTAACTTTAATTTTAACTTTAACTTTGATTTAACTTTTTAGCTCCATTAAGTCATTTTTACTAAACGACGAAAAGTTAAAGAGGGGAGAAGAGACGAACGAGAATAAAACCGTGATAAAACTACGATTTAGCGCGATTCGGCGTATAGTATTTCACGACATCGTCACAAGAGACGAGACAAAGTCCTGTACGCCGGTATTACTAAAACGTAGTTTTAATGACAACGGATACTCCGTACCGTACGGTTACGTCTCCAGCGAATAGCGATATATTTCACTCCTTTGTTTTACTTATTTGTAGCGTAAGATTTTAAAATTATTCCTAGAGTAAGAAAAATGTAAAAATTAAAATATAAGAAAAATGTAAAAACTGCGAAATATACGGAATATACATGTCTGTTTACTTCGCTTGTAAAAAGATGAACGTAAATTTTACGCGCTATACTTCAAAAATAAAGATTTTTATATGTAACGAAGACGAAAAATATAAATATAAAAAATAAAACTTTTTAAATCGATTTTGTTCTTACGTATACTTACAATCCCTCCATCCCCTGTCCCTGGACTTTAAGCGTGCGAGTGAAACAATTTTGAATTTCTTGCGCGACGTTTAAGGTGCAAATAGAAGTAACTTTCAAACAAAAGAATAAAATGTCCCGCGCGAACCGAGAAATATCTCTTGTTCCAACACGATAAGCACAACAATCGCTCTGGGATACGAGATGTATCTTTCCTCAGCGCTAAATAAGCTTTTGTGTGTCGCGTGAGGAAGCTCGCCCACGGCTACGCGAACCGCGCCGCGCCGCGGGGAAGAGCTCACTATGGCATCCCCGCTGATGTACGCTGACGCGAGCGCAGCAGCCGCCGCGTGGGCTCCCCGCGAGGGTTTGCTAGCCCACCGTCGCGATTTAAGATATAAATTCGCGCTCGCGAGTCG